TTACACCACTTCCTGCCCTTCCAACTTGCAGATGATATACGATACCTCAGGCTCCTGTCACATCATCTATTGCCAGGTCTCAGCAGCTTCCCACAACCAATGCAACTGCAGGCTCTAGCTCCATTTTGTTGATTGCAGACCACAAGGTACCAGAGTCAAGTAACAATGCGAATCCCAGCATAAGAAGCAGCGAGACATTGCAAGCTGGATCAGACCCAATCTGTCCTACCTCAAGGTCAAGCAGCAAGTCAGTAGTGGAACTAGGATGAGAATCTAGATTTCACCAAGGAAAGCTCAGGGTCTCTCTCCTGTCTCAGGAGCCCAATCCTGCCAGGCACTCAGCACTTCAGCATCTCCTGGGTCCCTGGCAGGATTGAACTGCTAATGGCTGGCTTTGTGGAGTAACTCCAAGGGGCCCATGTGTATCACAACAGGAAATCTTTCTTGTAGACCATCCAGACAAGCACAAAGTTTGTCAGGGAAGAAAAGGTCACAGTCTGCAGTAAGCAAGCACAGGGATTTGGAAACCTGCACTGTGAAAGCTCCTGGAAAACTGCCCTTTCTGAGTGAAAGGCCCTGGGTCAGGCATACTACTCTTCAGACTGTCTGGCAGTGCTGTAGCAGAGGTCAAACTGCATCACACGTTCCCTCCTGACTGTGCAGTGCTCAAGAATACAGCCCGGGGAATGCAGCTCTGCCAGGCACCTGCACTTCTTTCACTACCCTCTGGGAGGAAAATCCAACAGCAACCAAATTCTAGGTGATTCAGAAGGAAGTGCTGGGGGATGAGGAGCAGGCACTGCCCCTAAGCAACCCCAGGTGGGCTCTTCCAGCGGTGTCATAAAAGTAGAGGGGAAAGGGGATGTGCCATTGCCGGAGGCTTAGTTCATAAGTGTCTTTTTCATACCAGTGCAAGACCCAAGATAGAGCCCACTTCAGAAAGACATTCATTATCACTGCTTCATCCCTCCATAGGCAGGAACAGAGCCTGCACTTAACCTCTCCAGATCAAGCACTTTGCACAGTTCTCATACCAGCAGAGTCTGCTGAGAAGGAGAGCTGCAAGCGGTCCTGGGATGCACCAGGAATGCGGGATCTGCTCACGTTCACTGCCTCCCAGACAGGTTCACAGCAAGCTCCTGCCTCCGGGACTGCTAGATGCAGAACTACTGCCTCAGCTCTGCAGGCTTTGCTGCTCAGCCTGGCAGGAACAGATTCAAAGCATGCAGGACCTCTTAGTGTCCTTCTAGGCTGGATGAGCAGAGGCAGAGATGCGGTGCCAAGTTATCCCACCCTCAGGTGCAATCAGAGCTCGGAGGGTGGAGAGAAGCTATCATCAGCCCTGCCAAGCCGGGGAAAAAACTTCCTCGGCTGTTCGTCGCTTGGGGGCTGCAGGAGGGAGCAGGCTCCCGAGAGCGTTTCACGCCTGTCACCCTCCGAGCGGCTGGACTCTGGAAAAGCGCTCTGTCCCCAGGAAGCCCCTCAGGCCAAGGCGCCAGC